ATTACATCTCAAACTGGGGCCTAAGAAGACTCTCGACTAAGGATCCTACATTATTCTCTCAAATGGGATTGGTACGTAGGGAGAAGACTACGAAGTTCCTACTCAAAGAAAATGAAGGGTTCAACTTGGCTTAGTCAATACACATGACTCACATCAACATCCAGAGAGACTAAGGTAATGAGAAGAAACTAAAGAAAAGAAATAAACAATACACTCAAAGCATACAAGAGAGAATGATGGAGGTGGTGTCATCCATGTGACGCAGATAGGCAGGGTTTATAGCCTCTGAAGGATAGAGGACTTACCCATCGATAAGGCATACTACGAGACACTGATAGTAGTAGCATTGAATCCTAAATCTAGAGTGAGTTTAGTATTCTTCACATAACGCTAACATCTGTCTCTTAACTAATGCATTCTAGACTTATATCCTGTCTGAAAAGGAAAGCCAACTAAACACATAGTCATATAAAATCTATTTTGTCTAGTCTTTATGAAAGATGGGTGGGTAGCTCAGTTATTGGAAGTGAGAGCCGACATCTAGAGAAGTTCCTAAGTGGCCTTGTATTTATATATGGTAGAATGCTTCTAGAACTAGTGCAATTAAGTTTTGATTTAATTAATTTCTAATGCAATGTATGCTAGTTGAAAGCAAGCATTAAAAAAGCGGACGATGCGTCCGCATTGAGTCGCGCCTCAAGTCGAGGCGGAAGTCATGTGTATCGGGGCTTACGCCTCGAACCATCCAGCGAAGCCTACTATTTTTTCGCACGAGGCGTACGCATCAGAGTGTAACATCTCGAGGCAGTATGAAGCATCGCCTGGAAATTTTTTCTTCGGTATATATGTAAATATGATGCAGCCGATTCGTGTTCGTGTATTCGCGTTTAGGATTAGGGCTTCCTGTGAGAATTGAAAGGCGAACTAGAGGCGAAGCCGTGAGGGAAGGAAACGAAGCCGTGAGTGTAGGAGACGAAGTCGGAAGGAGACGACTCAGGGAAAGAAACGAAGCCGAAGTTGTGAGTGCAGGAAACATTCAGGCATCGGTTAGGTCGGAAGAGCAGGTACGCGGTGTTGTGGCCTTGACTTTGATGTGCAGTAACGAAAGCTTGAATAACTCCTGATTCGGCTTTCTTTCATTCGTCCGCTCAGTACATGCTCAGTACCGAGCAAGTACAAGCTCGGTACTATTAGGTACATGCTTGGTACTGAGCATGTACCGGTCAGTACCGAGCATGTACCGGTCATGCTCGGTACCGAGCGCTACATGCTCGGTACCGAGCGTATTGAGCATATACAACAAACAGAATTTCAAAATTACTCTTATAATATAACGAAATCTTGAATAACTCTTAATTCTACTTTTTTTTATTCGTCCGCTCAGTACATGCTCGGTATCAAGCAGGTACATGCTCGGTACCGCTCAGTACATGCTTGGTACCGCTCAGTAAATATATACATGTCAAACCCCGCTAGGGGGCAGCGCCCCCTTGGACCCCCGACAGACTGGTGTATTTTTTGTATTCATGTTGTTTTATTATTGGTAGTATAAATAATTTTTAAAATATTTCCTATTGTTAGCATGACTAGTGGCACAAGAAGGAAAGATCCTGCATGAAAGTATGGAACTCAAGTTGAAGTGTCAGAAGAAGGTGCAAAGAAGGGATATGTTTACATGAAATGTAATTTCTGTGAGAAACGCATAATTGGTGGCGTCAAGAGATTGAAGGATCATCTAGCCTGCACTCATATCAATGTGGGACCATGTGCAAAAATTCCTGATGAGGTGAAAAAGGAATGTACAAATTATTTAAAAAAGTTTGCCACCACAAAGGAGGTCACACAAATAAATATGGATGACACAAAGAAATATGGATGAGATGATAGGAAACTCTTCTTACTATGGATCACAGCATTAAGGTTCCAGTACTGGAAGCCATACAGTTTCTTCTTACCAAGGTAGTCGGGGGCCTATGGATATATTTATGCTAAATATTGATAACGAGGAAAAGATAAATACTCAGGATAATTATGAAGATTCTTCTGAAGACACTCAAAGTGATGATGAGCCTGCTTTGGGTCTTGATTCTAAGGGAATGTTTTATTTTTAAGTGGGTTTATTTTAAATATTGTATTCCAGTAATATTATCTTAAAACAAATCTTCAAATTCATAGTTGACATAATATTTT